AATCAGCGTATTAGAATGATTTCTGAAAGATCATGTGACACTGAAAATAATGGCTGCTAAAAAAAACAGCTTTACCATCAGAGGAATTAAGTCGATTTTAAAATACATCCAAATAGAAAGCTGTTATTCAAAATTGTAATAATATTTCACTTTTTTTGTGTGTTTTTGATGAAATAAATGCAGCCTTTGTGTGCATAAGATACGACTTTCAAAAACAATAGCTTAACGTCTTACAGACTCCAAATTTCTGTACAGTTCAATGAAATGAAAATGGTGTAGAAACAATTTTAACCCAGAAATTGCTTGTGACATTTTACAATACAAATACATAACACATTCAATTAAACCTGAAATTTTAAAGTAAAAAAACTGAAATCGTATTTTCTTGTAAAACCACTTCTTTATTTACAACTTCAAAAAATTATTTTACAGTGCAGTGTACTTATTTTCATTGCTAGTACACATTCCTGGTTTTATTGTATGCCATTTATCAGAAATGATTATTCTGAAGAAATGTTTGGCTTCCTATTTTTTTTCAAAATGGCTACAGCTCTTACCTTTTCAACACCTATTTTTCTGCATCTTGTCATCTTGAGACAATTGTTCCAAGATCCAATCAAGTCCTCTAGGATAAGATTGACTTTGAATTGAATTTCCTGTTTCTCTCAAAAATATGCCTAATTTTGCAAGTAAATATGGCTGGGAATCTATTTTTAAGTTGACTAAATGACCAATTCCATATGTTGTTTGTTTTCAGTATGGGGCATCATTTGTGATTTCTGGAGATGACTGAAACTTTGAAGACCAGGTTTGAGTTCCCCAGCTCCCTCATTCAAGCCCAGGTAAAGCACTCAAGAACAGACTGATGACTTAAGCATTTAGAGGTAAAACAAGGTTCTGATTCCACAGCAATTCAACGAAATGCTTATCTATCCCCACTAAACCTGTCAGTCTTGAAGAAATCCATTCCTGCGAATGTGTACATTTGATTCAATCTTTGGTTTAGTTTGCTCAAGGCATGTGAAGAACCAGATTTTCTGCCTGCTCAGTAAGGAACAGCTTTTTTTGGCTTGTTTATTCTAGGCTGTGAGGACGCTGGTCACTGCAGTGCTGAAAGAGAAAGGCCAAAATGAAAGGATTTGTCAGACCACAGCTAAAGTAAGTTCTGGTGATCTTGCATATGAAGATTATATCGCATCATGGTTAGGACACATAGTTCAAATTAAACGGCCTGTTTTTGGCAGCTGCACCTTTAGGACTTCTATGTCAATGCTCCTTTGACAAGTAAAATTAATAAGAGTGTTTTATCCAGTCACTCAATGCCTAAACAGGCAGTGGTTTGTGTATAAAGGCTTCCAAGGCACAATAATGATCTGAAACAATTTCAAGGGAACTTTAAACATAACCAAGCTAAATGCTTATTTCTTAGTAGAAATGAAGTCACAAGCTAATAAAAATAATTTATTCTAGTGATGCACCGAGTTGAATTTTTTAACAAAACCAAAATTAAAGTTTTAAAATGAATTCATCTTTATTTAATAATCAACACTCAAATCTGACAACCAGCAATCAAACTGAGATGCACATTAAAGGGGTGGTTCAGTGGTTTTTTTCTAGGCTTGATTGTGTT